TACAATATCGTTTGACTTCGACAATAACAGCTGCTTTGGCTGCTTACGGAGCCATTGAACAATTGAATCGTATGTACACTATGTATGATCAATATTTGTCCCTGGAAAGAGATATGTCTCAGCGTAAGGAGTGTCTACGTTATGTTAGAACATTGGAACGTAAGGTAAGCTGGTAAAAAGTTATAATTTAATAAATTTAATTTTAATATTTTAAAGTTTTTCTTAAATAGTTTGAGCATCCAAAACCTGTGGATAAACCACCATTAGTAACAACATTTTCCGATCAGGAAATTGATCATCAAGATATGGAACAATCTATAGCTTTGCTAGAGACCATACTAAAACCTGAACAAATTGGACAACCTCATCATCATCATCAACAGCAAAATCAACCAAAGCTGCAGGATATTAAGCAGTAAGATTTTTTATATTTTTGCGAGATTCAGAATTTCAAAAATTTGTTTTTTTAGACAACGTGAACGCAGCAAATCTTTTATGATTGAGGATATGTCTAGTATGCGCGGTGATCGTGATACTTCTAAGAGTAATGCAGGTCATCTATTGCGACGTCAAAGTACTTATAGTGATAGTAAATCTAAAGTATCAAAATGGACCAAAGTTAAAGCTGCCTTTAAATGGGAAAGAGCAAATGTACCCGCCTTACTTGAGGGCTCTCGTGATAGCATTGGACTTACCCCCAATAATACAGAAGTGGCGAGGTGAGTACTTACATATACAAAATTTAAGGTACTTCCCACTCTTAAAATTCTATAAATCCATTGGGCTCAATGAAATAGTATGAGCTAGAGCAACTCTTGTTTTTGCTGAGTTTTTTCTTTATTTCTGCTTCATTCATGCAGTAATCTGCAATCGTGGTATTGAATGACGTTCAAAGCTACTGTATACGGAGTACGATCTATTGGATCCTGCAGATAGTTTTATACATGCATATTTTTCCTGACTTGGCACGAAATTAAGGTTTTCCTACTTTGTTCATGAGGTCAGGCTACTAGTTGACAGGTTGAAAACAATTGACATAAATTATGACTAAACTAGAACTGAACTGAACTAGAACTGAACTAGAACTGAACTAGAACTGAACTAGAACTGAACTAGAACTGAACTAGAACTGAACTAGAACTGAACTAGAACTGAACAAGAACTGAACTAGAACTGAACTAGAACTGAACTAGAACTGAACTAGAACTGAACTAGAACTGAACTAGAACTGAACTAGAACTGAACTAGAACTGAACTAGAACTGAACTAGAACTGAACTAGAACTGAACTAGAACTGAACTAGAACTGAACTAGAACTGAACTAGAACTGAACTAGAATTGAACTAGAACTGAACTAGAACTGAACTAGAACTGAACTAGAATTGAACTAGAACTGAACTAGAACTAAACTAGAACTGAACTAGAACTGAACTAGAACTGAACTTGAACTGAACTAGAACTGAACTAGAACTGAACTAGAACTGAACTGAACTAGAACTAGAACTAAATTTGAACTGAACTAGAACTAGAACTGAACTAGAACTAAACTAGAACTGAACTAGAACTGAACTAGAACTGAACTAGAACTAGAACTGAACTAGAACTGAACTAGAACTGAACTAGAACTGAACTAGCACTGAACTAGAACTGAACTAGAACTGAACAAGAACTGAACTAAACTGAACTAGAACTGAACTAGAACTGAACTAGAACTGAACTAGAACTGAACTAGAACTGAACTAGAACTGAACTAGAACTGAACTAGAACTGAACTAGAACTGAAACTAGAACTGAACTAGAACTGAACTAGAATTGAACTAGAACTGAACTAGAACTGAACTAGAACTGAACTAGAACTGAACTAGAACTGAACTAGAACTGAACTAGAACTGAACTAGAACTGAACTAGAACTGAACTAGAACTGAACTAGAACTAGAACTGAACTAGAACTGAACTAGAACTGAACTAGAACTGAACTAGAACTGAACTAGAACTGAACTAGAACTGAACTAGAACTGAACTAGAACTGAACTAGAACTGAACTAGAACTGAACTGAACTAGAACTGAACTAGAACTGAACTAGAACTGAACTAGAACTGAACTAGAACTGAACTAGAACTGAACTAGAACTGAACTAGAACTGAACTAGAACTGAACTAGAACTGAACTAGAACTGAACTAGAACTGAACTAGAACTGAACTAGAACTGAACTAGAACTGAACTAGAACGGAACTAGAACTAGAACGGAACTAGAACGGAACTAGAACTAGAACGGAACTGAACTTGAACTGAACTAGAACTGAAATAGAGCTGAACTTGAACTGAACTTGAACTGAACTAGAACTGAACTAGAACTGAACTAGAACTGAACTAGAACTGAACTAGAACTGAACTAGAACTGAACTGAACTAGAACTGAACTAGAACTGAACTAGAACTGAACTAGAACTGAACTAGAACTGAACTAGAACTGAACTAGAACTGAACTAGAACTGAACTAGAACTGAACTTGATCTAGAACTTAACTAGAATTGAACAAAAATTGAACAAGAACTGACCTATAACTGAACTCGCCGTCGGGACAATATTAAAAAGTATGCACAATGTACATTCCGATTATTAAGTTTTTCGAACACCAAAATTGTATTTAAAAAATCAATTGCAAAGTACTAGAACTAGAACTGAACTAGAACGGAACTAGAACTAGAACGGAACTAGAACTAGAACGGAACTAGAACTAGAACGGAACTGAACTTGAACTGAACTAGAACTGAAATAGAGCTGAACTTGAATTGAACTTGAACTGAACTAGAACTGAACTAGAACTGAACTAGAACTGAACTAGAACTGAACTAGAACTGAACTGAACTAGAACTGAACTAGAACTGAACTAGAACTGAACTAGAACTGAACTAGAACTGAACTAGAACTGAACTAGAACTGAACTAGAACTGAACTTGATCTAGAACTTAACTAGAATTGAACTAGAACTGAACTAGAACTGAACTGAACTAGAACTGAACTAGAACTGAACTAGAACTGAACTAGAACGAACTAGAACTGAACTAGAACTGAACTAGAACTGAACTAGAACTGAACTTGATCTAGAACTTAACTAGAATTGAACAAAAATTGAACAAGAACTGACCTAGAACTGAACTCGCCGTCGGGACAATATTAAAAAGTATGCACAATGTACATTCCGATTATTAAGTTTTTCGAACACCAAAATTGTATTTAAAAAATCAATTGCAAAGTACTCCCTTATTTATATAATAATTTTCCATATTTTTTCCTCCGCAGATATTTGCGTGTACCATCATTACCTTGCGGTACCAGTTCGGCTGATAGCATTTTAAGTTCATCATCTGGTCATCTACTTAGTGATGCCGGTACACCGGGTACCATCAGTTCGGCAAGTTCAATGGATGATATTGATAACGCCTGTGGCATGAGTAATTATATAAACATTATATTTATCCAATTGTTTATGAATAATTTAAAATAAACATTTAAAATTTTCGCTATAAATTAAACAGGAAGAGATTCTTCAAAAAGTGATATACTAGAGGCGCAGGGTGAAAGATCTGCATCACAACCACAACTACAAGAATCAAAATCTCCGGATAGTTTAATAGCGACCACACCATCGGATTTGAATAGCAGTGGCATTGCTAGTAAATCATCATCGAATAAGTCTATACGTAAATGCAAATTGGTGCCTGATTTTGAAGTACTGCCCGAAGATGTTGAGGTTGTTATACCGCCTGGTAATAAGCGCAAAAATCGTACTCCTCCTAGCCCTTTAAATTTGAATTTGAAACAGGTAATTTTGAAAGCAAATATTTAAACAATATATTTTATTACTTTTTAACCGAGTCCTTGAATTCCATTGTCATTATTAAACCGCCCTACCAGGATCTTACTGACTCGGATCATCAATATTACACTTCACCTCATCTATTAAAAGCCAGTCCACAAGATGGTACACAATCATTAAATCGTACGTTTAGAAAAATTTCATCGCCAGTCAATTCATCTGTACCCTCAAGTCCTTCCCGGCATTCTGATTTCTTTGCAGAATACGGTTAGTATATTCATAAACAAACTTTTAATGTGAAGTATAACCTAATTTTTTTCATTAAATTAGAATGTGAAGATGTTTCTAGTGGGGATTTTTCTGAACCTAACTCCCCCAATCATTTGACTAATCGCAAAAGTTATGAACTGCAACAGGATGAAATAAATAGACGTTATCAGATCTTAAGAGCTAAATTGGATAAAGAATTTGAGAATAAGCGCAAAGAATGGCAGAAACTAAAATCAAATAGAGGTGTGTAGATTATGTAAAAAGCGATATGTTTATTTAATTCTTTCTGCTTTTCCAGCTATGGCTTTAGTAGCTGTACCCAGACCTCCCGAACCTATATCGCCGAACCCCTCGGCTATTAGCAGTAATATATCGACCAAACTTTTAGAAGAGAATCTTACACCTGATTTCAAGAAGAAATTACAAAAATGGCGTGTTAAGAAACAAGCTTCTATAGGTGGCATACAACCGGCCGCACCAATGTCTCCTACTATACCTAAAGATCCGAATACAAAGATTGATTGGCATTTGTGGAAAACGGGCCAGTTGAAATTAGAAGGCCAGGGATTAAGTCCACTGCCTGATCAAAAGGATTTACCCGAAGATTTCCAAAAGAAATTGGGTGAGTGTAAAGACAGACCTATATATATTTTGGATCTAGACCCCATATAAGAACTTTTGCGTTAATATTTAATATATTTCTTATAAATAAAATTACAGAACAATGGAATAAAATAAAACGTGGTGGATCTTCAACAAGTTGCACAGATTCTCTGAAACGTACCTATAAACATGGTGGATCGGGTAAGAAAGGAGAATCAGATGATGACCGCGCTGGTGATAAGGATAAGCGTATAGATAAACACAAGCCCCACGATAAAGAAAAGTCCGAAAGGTATTGAATATTAAAAATAATAGGAATCTTTTCTTTAATATGATTTTAAACTCAAATACAGATTAGCCAAACTAAAGGCCATTGTAAGTGAACATCCTGCCAAGGAAATTGAAGTAAAAACCTCTGCGGGTGTTATGAAATTTGAGGGTATTTCTCGCAAATTCACACGTAAACTTTATGAATGGGAAAAAGCGAGAGGCATAGGACCAGAATCATCTACATTTGCTTTGCTGCATCCCGGTTATTGTCCAATTGATGTTAAACGCATTTCAAAAGAGTCACATAATCGTAAGTTATTTTCCTTGCAAAAAAAATCACAATAAACATCTAAATGCATTTTTCAACAGATGAAAACTCTCCCACACTTAGTCGTTCCCTATCATTGGACAGTATTTCGCCTAGTATTGCTTTGCCAGTTATTTCCCAACAGGCCTCCAGTCTATCGTTGAATGATGTCAACGAGTTGAAAGAAATGGAGGGAGTGGTGAGTAGCACCGATGCTTTGGCCTTGGATAGTGATTACAATAAAAAATATGACGAACCGGAGGCGGTTATGGTAGAAGTGGAGGATCATATAGTAGAGACAGCTTCCCCTTTAAAGTTATTACCACCCCTGGATAAAAAGCAAACGCCCATTTATAAGTATGAGGAAAAAGCTTGTAAAGATTTTTGGTAAGGCAGCTATATTTATGATTTTTATATTATTGAAGCTATATATTTTTTAGCAATTCGAGGAAAATACAAAGTTTTGAATCTCATACAAATGTGGCGCCTTTATTGAATGTATTGAAAAATTCCGAAGAATTACTAAAGTTATTGAAACAAAAATCCACGGATATTGCTGAAAATGAAACGTTGCATTTATGTGATAGCGTCCTGGCTTTAATACGCAGCAGTTATTCTTATTACGCTGATAATCTAATGAAACCTAATGTTTTGAATGCCATATCGGACGTACAAAATGAACTGAGTCGTTTGAGGAATTTGGTAAGTGGGTTGTGATAAACTAATTTGACAAAAGCTGGACTAGTCGGCAACTAGAACTAGAACTGAACTAGAACTGAACTAGAACTGAACTAGAACTGAACTAGAACTAGAACTGAACTAGAACTGAACTAGAACTGAACTAGAACTGAACTAGAACTGAACTAGAACTGAACTAGAACTGAACTAGAACTGAACTAGAACTGAACTAGAACTGAACTAGAACTGAACTAGAACTGAACTAGAACTGAACTAGAACTGAACTAGAACTGAACTAGAACTGAACTAGAACTGAACTTGAACTGAACTAGAACTGAACTAGAACTGAACTAGAACTGAACTAGAACTGAACTAGAACTGAACTAGAACTGAACTAGAACTGAACTAGAACTGAACTAGAACTGAACTAGAACTGAACTAGAACTGAACTAGAACTGAACTAGAATTTAAATAGAATTGAACTAGAACTGAACTAAAACTGAACAAGAGCTGAACCCATAGTTTCTTATGTTAAAAACATTTAACTCAGATTTAATTTATTTTAATTTTAGTGCGAAAAAAGTCCTCTAGATGAAGCTTGCTGTCAAGAGATTATGGAGGAACGAAATCTAGAATATAATGAAGAAATCCAGGGTTTACACGAAACCCTAGAAATTCTCAAGCAAAATATACGTAAGTTCGGGCAACATAATTAAAACAAGCGACTTTCATATAATTTTCTTTGCAGAAGGAGGGTATCCACGTTTCTCTAAAGATATAGTGCCAGATATAAATATAATAGCCGATGAGGAATTATATCTACCACCGATAACTGCAACACCAACCGAAAACCGTTTCGACACACTCTCCACTACGCTAGAAGCAACCGATGAGTTGAGTACTTCAATGGTGGAGAACGAAATTAAGCCGAAAACATTTAGTAATAGCAATGGTATTGGTGGTCTGCCAGGTGGTGCAATGGGTGCCGCAAATATGATGGGTGGAGCCAAAAAGAAAGTTCGTTTGCGTAAAATGGGTTCGAGACAAAATTCAAAAACCGAAAGTGATAGCAGTGATGAGGATAATCATAGTATTCTAGAAACACCACGGCGTTTAAAACGTAAAAATTATCGTCTCAAGCAAAGGTCCTTCGATGAAGATCCTAGTTCGGCCACCATAGCAGAGGATATGGTTTATGTTTTGAAAGTTAAACCCGGTCAGCCTATACAACAGATATGTGATACGACTAACCGAACTATAGAGAGTGGTGTTCAGCATAATGCCACTTTTGCTCGACTGCCTTTGGCCACCTCGACTTCTTTACCCAATGTATTTGTGAAAACTAAAAGAAAAGTATTTACTGCAGTGCAGGAACCCATGGCTATAGATGGTGTGGCTGTTATAGAGCAGGAAATTCTACATTCTCCCACTGAGACCAATGCTAAAACCAATAACCAAACGAATAAAGAAAAACCTTTAAATAACGAAAAAACTTCTAGTCTTACGGGTTCACAAAAGGAAGCATTAATAAGAGATTTGGAAATAGAACTCAAGCCACGTGTTCTATTAGTGCACAAATCCATTAGTTTAGATGATGTACGTTCCGACAACAACTCTGATGATCTGCGCAAGACACGCAGTGTCCAAAGTTTAAAGCAAACAGCAGAAGCCAAGTCTGGCAAAAGCTCCACAGGTTTTCGCACACCCTTGGCTACAGACAGCTTTCGTTTGCTGAATCGCACTCGAGAAAGTCCCTTAAAGTTAGACAACATTACTCGATTTCAAAATATGCTGCAATATCCCAAAAGCAAAAAAGATCACTTATACCGGAAAAATAATGAAAAAAGCTTTAGCGTTAATCCAGTGCATTTTAAAGGAGCCACTATTAAGAGAATTGAAAATAAAATTGCCAAAACACATTCGGGGTCTTCGGTGGCAGATTCAGATTTTACAAAATTTCTCTCTCCCGATAAACTTGATAATACCGTACCACGCATAGCTAGAAAATGGGAACGCAAATCTCTTACACCCACTACACAACAAATCAAATTCGATTATCCCACACCCACTAACTCGGAACCCACTAGTCCAGTATTCGAACAAACCTGTAGACCCATGACTCCATTAAACGAACGAGCTTTACGCATACAGAAAGCCAAAGAAGAATTCCTACGTGAAAAACCCAGTCCCATAGCGGTGGTTAAATTAAGGGAAAATTTTCGACGTTCCGAAAATTGGGGCGAAAAACGTCAAAGTGATTTAAGTTTGAGTTCTACTACAGCCGATGAAAGTTCAGTGCATTGTGAACTAGCCGAATCGGAGGACAATGAACTGCACAAAAGTCTAAGTGCCGATACGATAAGAGCCGAATCGCCACCCACACAATCGGACACTGGCACAGATCAGGATTTTGGTGGCATTTATGATTCCATACCACGACAAGTTACTAGATCTGGTAAAATTTCCAGCAAATTAGGTTTTGCTACCCTGGCCTCCAAACTACGTAGAGTTAAGGGTAAAAAGGCCAACGAATCGAAAAGAACGTTAGCTACCACGCATACGAATTCCAATACCGCCAGTGGCAGTGCACTATCGGCTCTATGTCGTCAAAGTTTATTCACCGACATTCTCGTAGCTCCCCAAATAGTTTCGACTGACACAGAGGTAAAAGCGTCCTCCACTTCACGTGATAGTGTCATGAAGTCTCAATCGTCACCACACGCTTTGCAACGAAGTCCCAAAAATGCTTCGGGTGATTTGAGTCGTTTCAATAACGAGCGTTTAAATAAATCTCAAAGTGATCAATATGTTAAACGTCATAAGGAAAGTTATGTCTAGTCAATGTAAAACTGTTTAAATTTTATATTTATTAATTTATTTACTTATTACTACTATTTATTATTATTATTTTCTATGGAAATGTGTAATTTTATGCCAAAGAAAGAAATACTCGTATTTACAACTATTTAATATTTATTTTATTATTTATATAGCGAACTAATTTGCTTGGCCAATTTTTTATGTTATTAATTATATTTTTTTATTGTAAAACAGTTTGCAAAATGAAAACAAAACTGGAAAACAAATACATATGTGTATGTATGTATGTATGTATATGTAATTTTTTAATATCTCGAAAATAAAATTAACCTTTCAAAATATTATTTATTAATTTAAGCGGTTTTATTTCAATGGGTTATGTACTATAAAATAGAGCTCTACTCGTAGACCGCTGTGATCTATTGTAATATCCATCAATAGAATAAAAAAGGAGGACATTTTCATTGAGGACAGAAGAAGAGAGAGACAGAGAAGAGAGGGAAGTACCCTGGTGAAGTAATACACAAAAAGGTTTATAATGGCCTATGTCTACTTCTAACCAACCAACCAACCAACCAACTAACCAACCAACCAACCAACCAACCAACCAACCAACCAACCAACCAACCAACTAACTAACCAACCAACTAACTACTAACTAACTAACTAACTACTAACTAACTACTAACTAACTAACTAACTAACTAACTAACTAACTAACTAACTAACTACTAACTAACTAACTAACTAACTAACTACTAACTAACTAACTAACTAACTAACTACTAACTAACTAACTAACTAACTAACTAACTAACTACTAACTACTAACTAACTAACTAACTAACTAACTAACTAACTAACTAACTAACTAACTAACTAACTAACTAACTAACTAACTAACTAACTAACTAACTAACTAACTAACTAACTAACTAACTAACTAACTAACTACTAACTAACTAACTAACTAACTAACTAACTAACTAACTAACTACTAACTAACTAACTAACTAACTAACTAACTAACTAACTAACTAACTACTACTAACTAACTAACTAACTAACTACTAACTAACTAACTAACTAACTAACTAACTACTAACTAACTAACTAACTAACTAACTAACTAACTAACTAACTAACTAACTAACTAACTAACTAACTAACTAACTAACTAACTACTAACTAACTAACTAACTAACTAACTAACTAACTAACTAACTACTAACTAACTAACTAACTAACTAACTAACTAACTAACTAACTAACTAACTAACTAACTAACTAACTAACTAACTAACTAACTAACTAACTAACTAACTAACTAACTAACTAACTAACTAACTAACTAACTAACTAACTAACTAACTAACTAACTAACTAACTAACTAACTAACTAACTAACTAACTAACTAACTAACTAACTAACTAACTAACTAACTAACTAACTAACTAACTAACTAACTAACTAACTAACTAACTAACTAACTAACTAACTAACTAACTAACTAACTAACTAACTAACTAACTAACTAACTAACTAACTAACTAACTAACTAACTAACTAACTAACTACTAACTAACTAACTAACTAACTAACTAACTAACTAACTAACTAACTAACTAACTAACTAACTAACTAACTAACTAACTAACTAACTAACTAACTAACTAACTAACTAACTAACTAACTAACTAACTAACTAACTAACTAACTAACTAACTAACTAACTAACTAACTAACTAACTAACTAACTAACTAACTAACTAACTAACTAACTAACTAACTAACTAACTAACTAACTAACTAAACTAACTAACTACTAACTAACTAACTAACTAACTAACTAACTAACTAACTAACTAACTAACTAACTACTAACTAACTAACTAACTAACTAACTACTAACTAACCAACTAACTAACTAACTAACTAACTAACTAGGGAGTTCGAAGTATTTAAAAACTAACTAATTAAAAACCGGTTAACCGGTTTTCATTATAAATAACAAAATCTATTTTAATTTGAAAAAAAATAACGTTTATGTTTACATTTTATTAATAAAACATAGCCCGAAGTGATTTTTAACAGTTTAAAAGATTATCGGTTGTATTCATAAATAGTTAATTTAGGTTTATTAAACATTATTAAGCAAAATCCACGAAAATGGTATTCATAAACGTCAAATAGCTTAAAATACCTTCAATAAACCAATGACAAATAGAAAAAATTTATTGTACGCTCGACCCTACTTTAAGCCAACAATAAGTTGAATTCTTACAAATTTTGTCTCTGATTAAGCTTTTTTCATTAATTTTAGGTTGAAGACGAAAACTAATCATGTTTTATTCTGAAATGAAATCTAAAAATTGTAATTTTAACCTTTACAAATTTGTAAATAAAATTCCAGATAAATTTTAAAAGTTTATAGTTTGGTAAAAAAACTAAAATCTAGGCATTATTGGATTAATAGATGAATATTTGATAGTATTCCAGTAGGTCAATACTATTTTTGGCAATTTGGAAATGCCCGCCTGTCAATCAAATCATGGCACAATCATTTTATTTGTCTTTTTCATAGTTTATTCGCTAAATATAAAGCCATGAAGTAATTAAGAGTGTAAATTATATTGATTAGTGTTCTATCAATACAAAATATCTTCTTCGGCAATAAAATGTAGTCTTTTATCAAAGAAATTTATCAGTATTTGCAAAAATTTATTAAAAATTGCTATAAAAATAAGTAAAAATAACAAAATGTGCATAGTGATGTTTATTTTGTCACAAAATATTCGTTATTCGAATACTTTTAATTATAATTAGAAATATATATGTTATATTCATTCATCTGAACTAAATATATATTTATTGTAGCCATGTATACATTTATTTTTCTTAAAAGTTCGTTCTTATTTTCAAAAATGTGTTATAACCAAAAATATAAAACTAAGAAAACCGACTCAACGAATATTTTATCCTAATTGTACGCAACACTAACACAGAAAATGACAGCCAAATTGTACAGTGCTGCCAAGTTAAACAATAAACAGCACAATAGTTAATGTAGGTTTATTATTTGTTTATGAATACCACAATTTTATTAATGGCTTTTAAGTCTAAAGTGTACTTTAACTATTGTGTGATTTAAATCTAAAATAAGCATTTTTTATGAATACAACTGTATAACTTTAGATATAGTCGTCTAATTTACATTATTTCTTTAATGTCCAAAAAAAAAAAAAAAAAAAATGGAAAAAGTGGGACATTCCAACACTTCCATAATATTTTAGCAGCAAATTAATAATTGTAATTGGATTATAATCTTAAGATTGATAAAGTTTTATCAAATAGTTATTCCAATAAATTTTACAAATAAAATTTGTTAATTAATTAGGATAATCAAAAATGTTTAATAAAAGTTATATTAGAAAAATTAACTCTAGTTTCTGGACTCCAATATTTTTAAAATTTATACGGTCTGTATTATTATTTCCTTCAAAATTTAATTTAAGTAATCTTTGAATACAAAGCAAATGAAAGTATTCGAAACCGGTTTTTAAAAAGTAAAAAAACCGATCACCCTAGTAAATGCCGAAAAAATTGTGGTGCCTTTTAATAAAAAATATGTTTGCTTTCTGAGACTAAGTTATACTTTTCAAAAGCATTAATCAGCACTGAATGCGAATTTCTCCTTCACATCTAGGATTTGAGATATCGTGTCCTGAAAATTTCAAATAACGCAATTTATGGCCCTTTTTGAAACGTTTTAACAGTGCCATTTCTCTCAAAAGTAAATCAATATATTCATTCTCAATAACTTTACAAACAAAACTTTATTATTAGAAACTAAAAAAAAAACTCGTTTAAATATTAAACTTATTTACTATCACCAGCATCCTCTTCCACATCCTCATCGTTCTCATCATTTTCAATATCTGGTATAAATGTTTGGGGTTCCTTATTATATTCCTCTTCGGGTTTCATAAAATCGTATTCAATCTTGGTGTTATCAACAAACAATATACACTCGGTAACATTGGAAACGGACTCAATCATGAAAGGTATTTTAACGGCAAAATTTGAACCACAATTGGCCACTTCCTGGGCAGCCGAAGGCAATTGATGCTCCACACTATCCAAAACCTGCTTAGCAGTGCTAATGGTATCCAAAATACTTCTGGCTATTTTGGTGACATTTAAAATTACCGAAACAATTTTACCCATAAGAGAATTTTTCTGGGCTACCTTTTTATAAACTACCGCCAATTCAAAAACATTTTTCCTGACCGTCTTCACAGTGTTATAGGTTTCATTTTGGATTTTAACTATCAGGGATGTAGTGTATAAATAGCAATCTACACCTTCGTAAAGAGAGTGCAGAGAGGTATTTAATTGTGGTATATGAGAGTAAGTGCAGTAAGCAGCACGTCCCACCCGAGCCGCTGCCTTATAGCCCAATTTTAGAGCCTTTAAAATTAACATAATAATTTTGGGTTTATTAATTTTAAGCAAATTGCTTTCCAACATTAAAGCTCTGGCTACTAAGGCATTAAGATTGATCTGGGCCTCATCTAGAGCATCTTGTAGTATACTTTGCATATCTAAAAATTCCATTTGTTGTTCTTTGGTCATTAGACTAAAATCGGGTTTGCCCATAATATCCTCTACTGAGGGTAAACTGGTGTCATACTGGGTTGCTGCTTCTTGGGGGAATATGTTGTTAAGTTGCTCCTCAAATTCCCTTAAAGTGGCCTCATATTGCTGTTCGAATATTTCGTCGATTTGAGCTCCTTCACTAGTTTTGCTAACCACAAAATCATATTGCAATTGCAACTCTGCGAACAAAGGTCTTAAAGCGTTAATCTCATCATGAGTCAATTCTTTGGCCTCATCCAATAAACCGGAAATTTCTCTATATGCACGACATGGTTGAATAAGCTGTTGATAATTTTGTTTTCAAATAATTAATGTAATTTTATAAACATTATTTTTTAAACAATAATTACCATAATACTGATTACCGCCAGCGCATAAACTATTAATTGTTTATTAAATTTTAACATTTTTTATTTATTATTCAACGTCCAACCAGCGTTAAGAGTTATTGCAAACTAAATTAAAATTAATTTTATGTTTTTAATTTTGTATTCAACTGAATTATTTACCTTTGTCTATATGTACATTATCTTTTGGCAAAGGGGCCACCATAAACAGTAAGTATTTGCTTGGCTTTATCTTTAGATTATTTCGTTAATCTTCTTCTATAATAATTTTAGTTGAAAACTTATCGCGTAACTTGGTTAGTTATCAATATTTTGATAGTTATTTTCTAATATTAAACATATTTATGGAGAGAATTTTGAATTCAATTGTGAATGTTTACGGGGGGCTTTTTTAATTTCATTTCCGAAGTTACAGAGAGGTCCAGAACTTCCATTTCGAACAATGTGTGGGGAAAATTGGTCCTAAATGAATAAAAATCTAATCTTTTTTACTTCTTAAACTGATTTTTTCCAGCATACGGAGTTACAAATGGGTGTTCAAGTGCAGTTCTAGCTTAGCTCTAGTTCAGTTCCACTTCAATTCTAGTACAGTTCTAGTTCAGTTCTAGTTCAGTTCTAGTTCAGTTCTAGTTTAGTTCTAGTTTAGTTCTAGTTCAGTTCTAGTTCTAGTTCAGTTCTAGTTCAGTTCTAGTTCAGTTCTAGTTCAGTTCTAGTTCAGTTCTAGTTCAGTTCTAGTTCAGTTCTAGTTCAGTTCTAGTTCAGTTCTAGTTCAGTTCTAGTTCAGTTCTAGTTCAGTTCTAGTTCAGTTCTAGTTCAGTTCTAGTTCAGTTCTAGTTCAGTTCTAGTTCAGTTCTAGTTCAGTTCAGTTCTAGTTCAGTTCTAGTTCAGTTCTAGTTCAGTTCTAGTTCAGTTCTAGTTCAGTTCTAGTTCAGTTCTAGTTCAGTTCTAGTTCAGTTCTAGTTCAGTTCTAGTTCAGTTCTAGTTCAGTTCTAGTTCAGTTCTAGTTCAGTTCTAGTTCAGTTCTAGTTCAGTTCTAGTTCAGTTCTAGTTCAGTTCTAGTTCAGTTCTAGTTCAGTTCTAGTTCAGTTTCTAGTTCAGTTCTAGTTCAGTTCTAGTTCAGTTCTAGTTCAGTTCTAGTTCAGTTCTAGTTCAGTTCTAGTTCAGTTCTAGTTCAGTTCTAGTTCAGTTCTAGTTCAGTTCTAGTTCAGTTCTAGTTCAGTTCTAGTTCAGTTCTAGTTCAGTTCTAGTTCAGTTCTAGTTCAGTTCTAGTTCAGTTCTAGTTCAGTTCTAGTTCAGTTCTAGTTCAGTTCTAGTTCAGTTCTAGTTCAGTTCTAGTTCAGTTCTAGTTCAGTCTAGTTCAGTTCTAGTTCAGTTCTAGTTCAGTTCTAGTTCAGTTCTAGTTCAGTTCTAGTTCAGTTCTAGTTCAGTTCTAGTTCAGTTCTAGTTCAGTTCTAGTTCAGTCTTAGTTCAGTTCTAGTTCAGTTCTAGTTCAGTTCTAGGTCAGTTCTAGTTCAGTTCTAGTTCAGTTCTAGTTCAGTTCTAGTTCAGTCTAGTTCAGTTCTAGTTCAGTTCTAGTTCAGTTCTAGTTCAGTTCTAGTTCAGTTCTAGTTCAGTTCTAGTTCAGTTCTAGTTCAGTTCTAGTTCAGTTCTAGTTCAGTTCTAGTTCAGTTCTAGTTCAGTTCTAGTTCAGTTCTAGTTCAGTTCTAGTTCAGTTCTAGTTCAGTTCTAGTTCAGTTCTAGTTCTAGTTCAGTTCTAGTTCAGTTCTAGTTCAGTTCTAGTTCAGTTCTAGTTCAGTTCTAGTTCAGTTCTAGTTCAGTTCTAGTCAGTTCTAGTTTAGTTCAGTTCTAGTTCTAGTCAGTTCTAGTTCAGTTCTAGTTCAGTTCTAGTTCAGTTCTAGTTCAGTTCTAGTTCAGTTCTAGTTCAGTTCTAGTACAGTTCTAGTTCAGTTCTAATTCAGTTCTAGTTCAGTTCTTGTTCAGTTCTAGTTCAGTTCTAGTTCAGTTTTAGTTCAGTTCTAGTTCAAATCTTGGTCAGTTTTAGTTCAGTTCTAATTCAGTCTTGTTCAGTTTTAATTTAGTTCTAGATCAGTTCAAGCTCAAAAACTACTCTTCCATTCCGAGATAAAATTCAGAAAAGTTCGTTTCAATTTATCTAAATAATTACCTGAACATTTATCTAAAATTCTAAATACATGAACCTAGTTTCGGATTATTTCGGAATGGACTCTATGATACCTTGTCATACCAGAATTTGAGAGTTATGGTACAAATTCAAGACAAAAGTCAAGGGATTTATTCTTCTAATGTCCATTTCCGACTTTAACAATAATCTTATCCTCTTCCATATTCTGGGCACTTTGAGTTATTTTCTGATGTTCATTTCCTCTCTTTTTCAGTCTGCAAAACGGGTCTTCCCGGAGCGAAGTTTCAATTGTGGTTAGTCGAAAATTTTCTTGTATTAAACGATTTTGATAGAAAAGACTAAATGATCACATACCAAACTCTTTTTTTAGTTTGTATATACAATGTTCATACTTATCATTTGCCTTAAACCGAAATGTACTCATAAATTTTATAATAACTTCTTGACCACACAGGTTAAAGTATCAAAACATAAAAAACTAAATTCATTGGTAAGTAAGAATTGATTATGGCAATAAAAGTTAATGACACTTGTTTGTGACTTTGTAGGGACAAGCGACAGACGAGAGCATGAAACCATACTCAAAGTGACACGCGACTAAACTTGCATGCAGAGTCGAGTTGAAAACATTATGAAAAAGGATAACAGAAAAGGATATAACCAAAAAAGGAAAGAAACAAAAATTCGAATGCATATTATTTGAATTATTTGAACAATAGTTTTTGAACTAAGGAATATGGATAAGACTACAGGATATTGAAATTTTATTCGATTGCCTAAAATATGTATTCAGTTTCAGCATTAACATGAAAGGACTTTTGCAGCTGAAATATTGAAAAGAGAAATTATTTATTTATGCAGAAAAATAAAAATTATTGAGATCATTGAATGAATGAATGATTTGATAAAATGACAAGTGAAGATTTTGATTTAGTATGACAGATATTTGACATATAAGTTAACAAAATGCAAACAAGAAAAAACAGCTGTAGCTAGTATATTTAAATTCAAAAGGCTTTCTCTAAAAGTTTTAAAATCATAATAATAAAAAAAGGATATAAACTTCTTTACCTATTTCATTTCTTCTTATTTAAATATAAATTGCTTTAAAAAAATTCAATTTTTTTTAAAATCAAATATAGTTTTCTATATTTAGTTCTCAATATTAATTTGAAATTATATTTTAAATTTAGAGAAGGCACGCGTCAGTCTCACTTAATAGTTTTTAATTTCCGTATTGACCTAGTCTCATTTTTAGTCAGCATGACAGAATGAATGAAAACCAAACAAAGAGTAAGAGAGAGAGAGAGAAAAGGAAATATCAAATATATTTCTATTCGTGTGTAAGTGTGTTTCAAAGTACCACTCCAAAAAAAAAAAGGTTTTTCTTTCTCTTCATAGCACCAAATGACAAGACATCACAGATGGTCGATGTGTTGATGCCTTCATGTATTTTTATTTCTTTCGTATTTTTTGGTCTTAAAATATCTAGTAGTACAAATTTTGTTAGTGATACTGCTGGAGATAGTACAACAACAATGATTATGATCAGTTTTAGTGGCAGAAAAAACGCTCGCGCTCTTATTTTATTTGTTGTTTCCGTGTCTTTAAGTATAATTATCATCTAGAAGTTATAAAAATGCATTCGTATCTATGTATGTATCTTATTTGTGCATCTCTTTTTAAATTCTTGTTCGAATGTACCGTCCTAACATCCACTATTTAACCTTTGTAACGCAAAAAAAAAACAAAATTTAAGTTTTAATATTACCAAGAGGAAAATTTCAAAAGTAACTGCATAATTTTTATATCTTTTAGCTAAATATTCGACCATCTGTTTGGTTTACTTTTTTTTGGAAAATTTGTAGTTCAATTTGTGTGTGCTAAATCATTTGTAAGAAAATTTATAGTTGAAAAACTATTAAGACTTTTTATATAAGTCATTAAATTGATATTTAAATAGTCTGGGCTATAGTCTGAACTAAAGTCTATAGTCTGAACTATAGTCTATAGTCTGGACTTTAGTTTATAGTCTAGACCACAGTCTATAGTCTTGATTATAGTGTGAGAGAGAGAGACTATAGTCTATAATCTGGACTATAGTATATAATATGGATTATAGTCTACAGTCTGGACTATAGTCTATAGTCGGGACTATAGTTTATAGTCTGGGCTATAGTCTAGACCATAGTCTGCAGTTTATGGTCTGGACTATAGTCTAGACCATAGTCTGGACTATAGTCTAGATCATAGTCTATAGTCTGGACTATAGTCTATAGTCTAAAACATAGCCTATAGTCTAGAACATAGCCTATAGTGTAAGAGAAAGAGACTATAGCGTATAATCTAGACTATAGTCTAAAGTCTGGACTATAGTCTTTAATGTGAACTATAGCCTATAGTCTGGACTATCGTCTATAGTGTAGACCATAGTCTATAGTCTGGACTATAGTGTAAAGAGAGAGAGAGACTATAGTCTATAATCTGGACTGTAGTCTGCAGTCAGTACTATAGTCTATAGTCTTTACTACTGTATATAGTCTGGACTATAGTCTGGTCTATAGACTATAACCTATAGTAATCTATAGTAAAGATTATAGATTATAGTAAAGCCTATTGACTATAGACCAGACTATACACTATAGTCCAGACTATAGACTATAGTAAAGGCTATAGACTATAGTCCAGACTATAGACTATAGTCCAGACTATAGACTACAGTTCAAATTATATTGTAGTCTGCAGTCTGGACTATAGTCTATAGTCTGAACTATAAACTATAATTTGAACTATAGTCTTTATTATAGTCTATAGTCCAGACTATATACTATAGTCCAGGCTATAGACTATAGTCCAGACTATAGTTCAAATTATACTGTAGTCTGCAGTCTGGACTATAGTCTATAGTCTGGTCTATAGTCTATAGTCTTTACTATAGTCTAAAGCCTTTACTATAGTCTATAGTCTTTACTATAGTCTAT